GTAAATAGAATGGAATAGAATAGAATAGAATATGAAGAGAATAGAATAGAATATGAAGAGAATAGAGTTAAAAAAGATATGATATAGGTTAAGTTTTTAAAAAAAATTAAATATAAAACAAAAATAAAAAATATAACAGTTAAGTTTCAGAAAAAGTCATTTACTGTATTATTTATGTAAGTCAATACTTTTCTTTCAATCCCTATTGGCACATGAGAATATTTTTTACTTTTCTGGAAACAAAATCATGCATTTTAACATACATACAACAATGTTTTTATTGATTACAGAAATTTACTTCTCAAATGCTGGACACAACGGAAAGCTAAGGAGTGGTGCTCTTTTATCAATGATCTTGCTGAGAAGTGTGAATATACCAAACAAAATAGGTACAAGTCGTTTGCACCTGTCAGAAATGAAACACCAGCAAAATGGTAAGTAATACATGTGCCAGTGATAGGTATACTTGGATGGAACTTTGTTGAATTTGTTCATTTTGTGACGATATCTTCAATTCTCTATTTTTAGCAAATATTTTGTCATTTTTGATATTTGGACTTCTTGAAAAGTATCAGCTCAATTGCTTTGATACCATTAGTATAATTTCAGCTAGTCTAGGTAGTCATGCACTAATGTTATTATTCCAGTCAAGAAAATTAAGTATTAGCTGTTATTACTTGTACTAGTCTGGCTAATTGGATTCATGTATTGTTGTAGAATTAATTTAGTTTTGGTTTGATTTTGGTGTCAGAATTGGTGTTTGTTCTGTTCAAAATAAGATTATTCATTAAATTACCCATATTATAAATTATGTTTATTTGCATCAAAATACAGGTTCATTGATGGTGCTGATTATTTAGATGCTGTTGCCGATGCACTGGAAAGTGCACAAATAGAAATATTTATTACAGATTGGTGGTAAGTATTTTTTTATACCGGTAAATAATTTAGTGTGACGGATAGCCAACAGATCATTTATCTCATGTCTGCCTTCTGTAAATACTAGTAGTTTTTGTGGATACTAACACCAACGTGACAGATATACAGTTCTTTTTGTGCATTAAAGTGTGAGGGATGTCACCTGTGAGTCCCATGCGATAACAACACATGCTAAATACGCAAAGGCTCATGGGTAGACACTTGTTTGTAAATAAATAATGACATGCTATGGCCATCTGACGCATGCGCAGGTGACGACTCCCCCTCTTTAAACAAATAGTATCTTGCCAAGTCATATGAATAATTGAAACTGCATATTCTGATTAATTTTTGTGTATAGGTTGAGTCCAGAGATTTACTTAAAGAGGCCAGTTACTGAAGGTAATAGGTGGAGACTGGATCAAATACTCAAACGAAAAGCTGTAAGTTATGATTTAATTTTAACAGGAATATGTTTTATTTTTTATCATCTTGAAATAAGATCATAAAATAATTTTGTTTGATTCTATCTTGATAGGTACAGTATGTTTGCTTAGCAGCAAATATAGCAGCATTTGAGCCAAGAAATAATGTGAAACACAAATGTGCTCATTTGCCTCCGATTTAATTAATTCAAAGTGCTGCTGCCAGTACATTGTTTAGATTTTTAATGCAGTATTATAAACAAAATCATATTAACATCCTCAAAAATCTACAAAATTTCTTTTTTCAGGTGTGATCATAAATAAACCCATGAATCACTGAAACAAACTGAAATCATTTCTGAACTTTTATTTCACCCTCTCAATTTATGGATATTGGTTACAGTGTTTTAGGGGCATACAAAGACAACAATTCTTAAATTCACACAGATTTATTACAATTTTTGACTATATAGAAGGGTAGCCAGGCAGTTTCTCATTTTTAGAATCCTTTTTCTTGCATGTTTGGATTTGACTTCTTCTGAACCATTTGATGCAGGAGAGAAAGCGAGTTATGTACTTCATTATTTTTATTATTTTCAAGGAATGTGGAGTCAAGATATTTGTATTATTGTACAAAGAAGTTGAGATGGCAATAGGACTTTGGAGTAGTTACAGCAAACACACATTAATGAAACTCCATCCGAATATAATGGTAAACCTTCATACACATTCAGTCAACTACTATATTCACACTGTGATTATTGCAATATATTTATTGAGAATCTAAACCATACATTGTTTATTTGCTTAGTAAGAATTGGTAATGTCAGGTAAGATTGTGGCTTATAAATGTCTTAGTCCATAACTTGCTTGCATTGGATAAAAGCTTCGTAACATCATATCAACTCCAATTTATTTATCCATATTGACTCTCAGTTCAAAAAAAATTAGAGAAATCAATTGTGTGGTGTATGTCAGCGTTACAGAGTCTTTCTGATATGCAGTGAGACAATTTAAGACAATTTAAATCATAAAGCTGTCCATTACTAAGTTACGATTTTCAAAATATTAGTTTAATTATCATATTATTTATAGATTCTTCAGATTAAAAATTAATGAGAGACGCTTAAAGTGGATGTCCTTTTTCCTGAATCTCCAAACTGCTGACTAGAGGGTGTTTGGTTTTGAATGATCACTTACTTAACAAGTTTATCAAAAAATAATGTCACCTAAAAACAAAATGATCAAAAGAATGGAATAAGTTTGACCATAGAAAGATGAAATTATACTTTATTTCTAGGTATTACGTCACCCAGACCATGTTCCAGGTGGAGTATTACTGTGGGCTCACCATGAGAAGATAGTGGCTATAGATCAGAAGACAGCATTCCTTGGTGGTATTGATCTTTGCTATGGTAGATGGGATGATTATACACATAGACTTGTTGATATAGGATCTTTAATGCCCTCCAAACAATCCAATTCACCTGGTGTACTTAGGGTAAAATATTTCTTCTGAAAATTACTATTTTTATATAGATAACATTTGTTATTTGCACAATGAAAGGTAATGTATGGAACTGTCACTTGACACAAATATATTAAAAAAACACTGGTACAATATTTGATAGCCATTGAAAGTTCTCTTTAGTTAAACATTTCTATATTTGATATTGGACTACTATCTGAGCCCAAATTGACTTCACACAGCGTATGTATTGAAACTGGACAACATCAAAGTCCTAAAAATTACCGAATGTATTGCAATGCAAGATGTTAGAGATGAATTTGAATGATAGTTTATTTTCATTCAATTATTTATATTTTGCAAACCACATATTCTCAAAATCAAATGATCATTTCAAATACTTCAACAAACCTAAGAAGTTTGTCAATATAGTCCACACAAGTGACAAACTATATTGACAAAATCAGAAAACAATTCTTTAAATGTTTTTGATTGTTAAACTATCAGTTTAATAACCATTTTTAAAATAATATCCTAGTTACACTATTATATACACCAAATTCGTAGTACCCGTAGTAATGAAGGATTTCTTATCCTAAATATGCTGTTCACAAGTTATGACAAATATTCTTATTAAATATTACTATTGTATTTATTTCTACAGAAATTCTCGTCCACTCCAGAGCGTCTGAATGAATTACACAATGCAGACTCCAATGCCAATGATGTCAAGGGGCAAGATGAGATTGACTTGGCACCAACCAATCTGCTAGCAGTACCTAAATTTTCGATATCTAGAACCAGTGTTGATGAACATCTCAACAAACTAGGGGTTCAAGGCATGGCCAAACTTTGGCATGGCAAGGATTATACTAATTTTATACGCAAGGATTTTGTGGATTTAGACCAACCATTGCAAGGTATGTCAAGTTTGGGGTTTAATTCGAAATTGTGATGATATTTGGTTTCCTCATAGAGAACATCAAAAGCTTTTCAATAGAAAACAGAGCTGTAATTTATAATATTATACATCTAGCACCAAAACAGTAAAATTTACCATTGCATCTTCCATCCGTGAGTAATTCTTTCTGTGTATGATTCAGATTTTATAGATAGAACTAATACACCACGTATGCCATGGCATGATATAGCGGCTGTGGTCTATGGTAAGGCAGCTAGGGATGTGGCAAGACATTTTATACTTCGCTGGAATGCAACTAAAGTAAGTACAGAAAATGTACAAACAAATGTCTCAACTATCAATTTATTTATTTTCTCTTTGACATATTTGATTATTATTTTGGGTAAAAAATTCTGTTTCCATTTTTTTAAAAAATTGGCTAGCCCAATTTCTTTGACATGGGTGAACACTATCAGATTTGTTAATTTTGTACAATATTTCATTTCATCATCTGTACTGTTAATCTGGCTGTTTTTATAGTACGCATCACCAACAGTGTAGCTTTATGAGCCTAGAGACTATACTTGTTCACATTTCCAGTTGCTAGAATTTTTGCCATAGTTGAGGTCCATGCATTTCATAGTGTTTCATGTACCTAGTGTTTTGTAACTTTTTTTGTATGTCACAGACATTCAATTCATTGTCGAAAATAACATTGGAAATAACACAGCCAACTGTAGATCATTAAACCAAAGTTATATAGAGAAAATACAATTTCATGAAGACAAAAACCGTACAAACTGAAACACATACTGTAGAATACTTTATTTTAGCTGGAATTAATTATCACTAAAAACTCTTTAAGTGTTTTGT